GAATGGGACAGTGAGCAAGGAGGAGCAGGGTAGCATAAAAACCTGTTATACTGATCAAATTCTAATCTGCCAAGAGCAATTCCAAGCTGCTGATTTGCCCCAGTATGTCTTACTGTGCTTTAGAAGACATTACTTAACATTGGAAGATAAGCTACTTAATTTTCCAAAGCACACAAATATCTGCTATGCAGACAGGTGGGCAGATGTGTATATAGAAACACAAAACTATTCTCACAGGACAAACTGCAACACAGTAGGGTGCTGACATTCACAGCTCGAGCCAGCACAGCCACCACTGGCTTTCCAGATGCAAGCAACCAGGAACCCACACGTACATCATGTTGCACTCCTTGCCTCCAAACACAGTAGCAATGCTCTTAGGGGATATTTATTGGAAAGAGGAAGTTTTCCCTCACTCCCTGATCAGAAGAGGCAGAGAATCTGCAGCTTCTGATCTCTGACAAATACAGAAGTTGACATGGAGTTGCAGGACATGGTATGCCCCAGAAATAGTCTTCCTCTGCAGGCCGTTACATACCTCCATCCTATTCATGGGCTGCAGAAGCAAGCCAAAGTTTTTAAGTACAAAAGCATGATAAAATGATTTTTGTGATGTATTAATCCAATTTTTCTCTTCCTACTGCTGCAGTGTAATAGCATATGACCCAAAGCTCCCACGACCAAGGAACTCCTTAATTTATGACACTGTTGATCTACCACAGAAATTAGTATGATCTGAAGAACATGTTATCATTTCTACACTGCCCTATAAAACCATAAAACATACAGGGAAGCTTCTCACATTATGAGCCATATAGTAGGCAAAATTATTTCCTGTTTAGTTCACGGGGTATTTTCTGTTTTCTTGAAATTAATAGTAAATAAAAAAAAAAAGTCACAACAGTGATTAACAACGTACCTTTCAGGTATGTGCTTTGGAATTTCTATATCAAGGGACTTCAAATGCAGGAGTTTAATCTTTCTTTCCATGTTATTTGCTGCCACTACATCATGAGCAAGTTCATACATCGTCTTTGATAATTCACAGGCATAAACAAAGGATGCTCCTGCCTTTTTTGCAAACATACTGAAAAAACAAGAATCCGGGCTTTTACTTAAAATTATTTAAAGTGGAAGGTTAAGCAAGGCAAGATAATGAATTTTCTTAAGTTCTATTTCTGCATCTGCTTCACATTCTAAGAAAACAGTTCAAGTTTAAAAATGACCATTAAGTGAACTAGTATCTCTTGTGTGAATACTGATACTGCACAAATGGGTATCCTCTTGATATGCTATCATAAAAATAAATAAATTCAGGTAGCATAACAATACTCCCCCAGCTATGCTAAATTAACTCTTTATACTAGATTTAATATTTAAAGACAAGACACATGGCATTACAACTGCAAAACCAACACTAGTAAATAAATTTATACAGCAGCTATTGGCAGAAAAGCTTCTGCAATGGTTTTAGAAACAGGGTTCAGAAAATACTGCTAGAGACTAACCTCCAGACTGACATCTGAAAGCTTTGTTTCCTTTAAGTTTTGTCTCAATACAAGGCATAAAAGTAATTTTTTTCCCCACTAGCAACCAGATTTTGAGAGATGACAATATGCTTCTATTAAGTCCATGTTAAACATACACTTATGACACACCTCAAAATACCTGTTCCTGTTCCAATATCAAGGACAGACTTGCACCCTGAGCAGACAGCATTCTCAATTGCTTTTAGGTATGTAAGGTTCCTCTTGGTATCATTGAGCATGATGAAGTGCCAGCGTTCCACAAGCCAGTTTGCAACGCGGTAAAAATTCTCCTTAGCATCAGCAAAATCTGGGTTAAGCTTCACTGCTTTATGAAAATATCCAGCTGCTTCATCTCGAAAGCCCATTCTAACAATCAAAATGACAAATAAATAGAAAGCATGCATTCAGCTGCCAAGTATCTGTAAGTATCTGAGGGTCTGTACATCAGTCAAAATACAATGGAAATATTTTGCTTTAGTAAGAAAGATTATCTTTAGAAACACTGATACTACTTTTTGGAAAAGAATCATTTACAGCTCTACATCAAATATTGTCCAAAAATACCACCATGTACACCAGCCTTCATCTACATCCTTCGACAAACTAGAACAGGTTTTACAAGAACTTACTGCAACAACAGGACATCAGCAAGTTGCAATCCAGTCTCACAGATTTTTCAAGTCAAGAGAAACAAACCCCAAAACTGCTTTACTCTATTTACCTGGACATACTTCAAAGCAACCAAATTTTGACTTGCCAGTGCTTGCATTAAGTAGCAATTTTGAAAACTAAATTGTGAACCTGAAGCAAGTTTCTGTAATACCTACAGGATATTCTCAAATCAGGCAGCACTGAAAAAGGAAAACAAAAATCTATAAAATGCAAGAAACATGTACATGTTTCTGTAGCAACATGCTGGGAGAGTTGTTCCTTAAAACAAAGTAATGACAAAAAGCAAGCCTAATTAAAACTATCTGGATCCACGACCTATGATTTCAATCTTATAATTCTAGTCTCAGAAGACCTTAGAACCCTGAGCAACAGAAAGTTACCATGTTTTGGACTGTTTAGAGAAAGCAGGAAAAGAATGCTTTACACTAATAAATAAAAGCATAAGCTCAAGACATTTAAGAACAGTCTACTGTATTTTAAGCTGACAAACAGTTCTGAAGTTCAACAGTACACACTACACAGCATTAAGAATATGCTTGCATTTACTTCTTTCAAGCACATTTTATATGCTCTGCTGAACTTTGTTAACATGCAATATTAAGTGTGAATCTTACAAAAACTGCATATACATTACCACAAACCTGAAAAGATGTTCTCCCATACTATTACATATCACTTCATCATCCGGGTACAGTTCAAGCGCTTGCTCGTAACAGTTAAACAGATCTTGAATCCGCGCCAGAGAATCTAGCTCTTCTGCCCATTTAAAGAGAGTAAACTGAAATGTTTCCTAGAAAATAAAACACGTACCACTGAGTTACTGGTAGTTACCAGAAACAGGGAACCAAGCCCTAAAAACATCTAGAGGTATCCTGATGTGCACCTGAACACTCTCATTTCCCTAAGCAGCAGCATACAATTGTTTGCTACCATCTGAAGCTAGCTGGCTCACTTGAAGCAGAAATAAGCTCCCAAATATGCACCAGAATATCACCACCCAGCAGCCTATGTATACTAAGAGCCTGCATGCTATATTACAAGCCCATACTAATAAGGCCTTATTTTTATTAAACTTAGTTGACACACACACAGACTAAAAGTGTATCAGTTCTCTTCCCACAGCCATACAAGGCTTATTAAACAAGTTACTGACTGTCTCCAGTATTCATGCTTTCTGCTTCTATTCTGAAGACTAAACAGGAAAGTCAGTTACACACAAGAAATCACTAACACAAAACATGTCAGAAAGCCTCAAGAGAAATACAGTAAATCAAAGCGTTTCAAGCAATTCAAAGCGCACTTACTTTGACACTAGTTTTTAACTCGGGAGCTAGATTTAGTACCAGGAGATAGTGAGCATATGCAGTCCCAAAATCCTGGTCCTCCAAGCAATGCTGAGCACTCTGCAAGGACCTGGAAACCAACTCCCGCCTGCCAGCTTCCTGACCACCTCTATGAATTTTAGAGTTGGAGTTGGGCATTATGAAAGTAGTAAATACTCACTCTTCCTGAAGGAAAAAAAGGTTGCATGTATTTTATTTTTCACTGACATGAGTAAAGACATCCTCCCTCCCCCCCAAGTACTAAGCATCTTTATGCCACTGATAAGGCCATCAACTTCAAAATGAATGTCCACCCTTCAAAAGCCAAGCACGCCCCATGTTTAGGTTAGACCAGGGTAATCTGGGCAAGCTTACACTTCTTCTTAAAATTAATTTTTGTAATACATACTTTAGCATATCTCTGACCAAATACTGACAAACGCCAGAAGTTCATGCACTCATCAGTTTTATGACTGACCACAAAATCTGCAGGTCAAAACTCCACTTCAACAGTGTCTTCATAAAACAAAGACCCCCAGAGAAAGAGTTAACAAGCTCAGTTTATTTCACACAAGGCAACATGATGATTTTTCCCCTTAAGACGACGTGAAAAGGTTATCATAATCGATATACGCGTTCTTACAGCTTTAAACTTACTTACACAGGAGTGCCTAGTACCGCCGTCAGGGTTTTCAGATGTATCCTAAAGCTGAAGACAGCGAGCGTTACATGGAGAAAGGCTGTAAGAAACACAGCATCATCACAACTAGGCTTATTTTCCTTAAAGCAAACAAACAAACATCGGCCACGCCTCAAGCAAGCACCAGCAACATACTCAAGGGCACGCAAAGCCAGGGGGTGCCGCGCAAACTCGCCTGCCGGATGGATTCGAGGGCCCGCGGGCAGGAGGGCGAGAGGGCCGCGGGAAAGCCTACCAAGGCCGCACTAC